GTCTCAAAAAAAAAAAAAAAAAAGAAAGAATATATTTAACAAAGGATGTGATGCATCACTACAGAGAGAATAATAAAAAAACACTGAGAAAAGAAATAGCAGAAGGTGTTAACAGATGGAAGAACATATCATGCTCACAGCTTGGAAGAATCAACATTCTTAAAATATCTATGCTACCCAAAGCAATCTACAGATCTAATGTAATCCCCATTAAAATACCAACATTATACTTTGAAAATCTTGAAAAAATAGCTGTTTGGTATAGAACCAGAAAAAAGACTGGAAGAGCCAACCCCATTCTACAAAATACAACCTAGAGGCATCATTTTATCAGAGTTCAGGTTATGTTACTAATCCATAGTGATCAAACAACATGGTACTGCCATAAAAATAGACACATAGATCTAAGGACAAAACAGAGAACCTAGAGATGAAACAAGCCTCATATAGCCACTTGATCTTTGACAAAACAACAAAAGCATTTACTAGGGGAAAGAATTCCTATTTAATAAATGGTGCTAGGAGAACCAGTTAGTCACATGCAAGAGACTAAAACTGGACCTGCACTTCTCACTGCTTACAAAAATTAATTCACAATGGATAAAGATTTAAATCTAAGACATGAAACTATACAAACCCTAGAAGATAGTGTGGGGAAAACTCTTAGTATTATTAGCCTATGGTTAAGAATTTATGAAGACTGGGCAGTGCCTGTGGCTTAGTGAGTAGGGCGCCAGCCCCATATACTGAGGGTAGCAGGTTCAGCCACCAGCCAAACTGCAACAAAAAATAGCCTGGAGTTGTGGTGGGCACCTGTAGTCCCAGCTACTCAGGAGGCTGAAGCAAGAGAATCACCTAAGCCCAAGAGCTGAAGGTTGCTGTGAGCTATGACACCATGGCACTCTACCGAGGGCAACAGAGTGAAACTTTCTCTTTTAAAAAAAGAAAAGAATTTATAAAGACAACCCCACTGGCAATTGCAGCAACAACAAAATACCAGAATCTATAAAGATCCCAAATCTATATGAACAAATAACCCCATTAAAAATTGGGCAAATTGGCTCGGCGCCTGTGGCTCAACCGGCTAAGGCGCCAGCCACGTACACCTAAGGTGGCGGGTTCGAATCCCCAGCCCGGACCCG